CAATCCAATCCTGGAGTGGAAGGCATCTCCCAGGGTTGAGTTGTAGAGAATTAGCCGAGTTGGGGTTGGGGAAGGGTTAATGACCTTACAGAGATCTGTGGGAAGAGGGACTGAGTCAGATCTTGTGGTAACCATGACTGGATATGGGAGAAGGAGACACACAGGGGAAGTGCAAGGGGCAGGCTGAAATCTATTGATATGTACACGTCCCACGATGCCACGTGCAATATCAGGAAAGTTACTTAATCTCACTGGGCCCCTACTTCCTCATCTGTAAAATGGGGATAATAAAGACTGTATTTCAAAGGGTTGCAAACTGGATCTAATGGTTTGGTGTAAGTAAAGCACTCAGAACAGGGCCTGCCTACAAGTGCCACAGGAGAGTCTGCTACAGCTGTTACTACACACGAAGGGCCAGTGTAGAAAGTAAAAAAAGATCGGGATGGTTAAAAGGAACAGCCTAATTAATTTAATTAAAGGGGCTGTTGTGGAGGGTCCCTCCYCTTCCTGCACATGAACAGGTCCCTGGGTATGGGTTATAGGAGAAAGCCCACCTACAGTGTGCAGAGGCAGGCAGCGTGGGCTCCAGTCTGGGTAGAAGCTATGGATGGATGTTTGGGGGAGACAGAGGATGGGAAAACTTGTGAGAGACCTGTAGGAGGCTCTTAGCACAGGGTGATGCCAACTCTGAGACGGCTCAGGGAGGTGGGGTAGAGGGAGGCACAAGTCTTGTCTGACTTTTGGGCAGCCAAAATCCACCCAATATTGAGCCTGTCTTGATTCTCAAAAAAGAACACCCCCTCCTCCTCTTAGTTTCTCATAGTTTCTGCCTTGGTCTTTGAGAAATGCTAGTCACCTTTAACATGGAGTCAGTCAAAAAGTCTACTGCCTGGCCAGGCACGACAGCACACACTTGTAGTCCCAGTGGCTCGGGAGGCTGAGACAGGAGGATGGCAAGTTCAAAGCCAGCTTCAGCAACAGCAAGGCACTAAGCAACTCAATGAAACCCTGTCTCGGGCTGGGGATGTGGCTCAAGCGGTAGCACGCTCGACTGGCATGCGTGTGGCCCGGGTTCGATCCTCAGCACCGCATACCAACAAAGATGTTGTGTCCGCCAAGAAGTAGAAAATAAATATTAAAAATTCTCTCTCTCTCTCTCTCCTCTTTAAAAAAAAAAAAAAAAAAAAAAAAAAAAAAAAAAAGAAACCCTGTCTCTAAATAAAATAGAAAATAGGGCTGGGGATGTGGCTCAGTGGCCAAGTGCCAGGGTGCAACCCCTAGTACCAGAAAAAAAAAAAAGAAAAAGAACTAACAGGGCTGCCAGGTGGGGGTGCACACCTGTAATTGCAGCAACTCGGGAAGCCAAGGCAGGAGGATCACAAGTTCAAAACTAGTCCCACCAACTTGGCAAAGCCCCTAGGCAACTTAGTAAGACCCTGTCTCAAGATAAAAAATAAAAAGGGCTAGGGATGTGGCTCAGTGATTAAGCACCCTTGGGTTCAATCCCCAGTACCAAAACAAACCAAAAAATCAAAATAAAAGATAAAAATGGGTGGGAGATGTAACTCAGTGGTAAAAGTACCATTGGGTTCAATTCTCAATACTAGGAAAAAAAAAGGAGGGAGTAGAAATGAGCCAACTGGGGGCTGGGGATGTGGYTCAAGCGGTAGCGCGCTCGAGTGGCATGCGTGTAGCCTGGGTTCGATCCTCAGCACCACATACAAACAAAGATGTTGTGTCCGCCAAAACCTAAAAAATAAAAATTAAAAAGTTCTCTCCCTCTCTCTCTCTTTAAAAAAAAAAGAAAAAGAAAAAGAAAAAAAAGAAAGAAAGAAATGAGCCTACTGGACCTGGAAGTTGGTTCTGATGTCTGGGAAAGGCAGCAGAGATTATCAAGCCTGACTGTCTATCAGCTAATCAAGACCCAGCTTGAGTAGATGAAGAGTATAATTCATTTTCCCAATTGAGTCAATTCAGTCCCTGCATAGGTATCCTAGCAGCTCAGTAGTGGGTGCCAAGTATGATTCAAATAGGAAAGCCCCAGGCCACCGGCAGGTCTCACCCCTACGTGGGTGTAGGGCAGTGGAGTGTGGGAATAAAGGGGTTGGGGGAAGGGCAGGGCTTGAGGCAATTCCCCAACTCAGAGAACCACTGAGAGAGTAAGGCTAGGTAAGGGGGCATCTAAGTTGTGAGTGCCTCTGCTCACTGTCAAGAGAGGGAAGGGCCCCAGATGGGTTGTTTCCTTCTTGATTTTCAGCATGCTTTATTAAATTGTACTTTTGTTCCTTCTCACCTTCTCTGTCACATACGTACCTGATCCTGTATACTGGCTTTGCCTCAGATTCTAGGCTAACCACTCTAAAAGGAACCTGTAGCCCACTGCTACAACCCTCAGTCTCCACTGTGTTGTCCTCAGGACGGGTCTTGTAACCCCAGGACTCCCAGCCTGTATCCTGCCCCTGTCCCCTGCTTCTGAGCTGCTACCAGACCTAGAAAAGCCCACCTGTCTTTCCAATGCTAATCAATGCCCTTATCTGCCTCTGGATTAAGGGTTGTCAACATGTACTGATCTATTGAGTACCCATTAAGACCAGTGGCTTCATTACATAAATATGTGTGCTCAGCAAGAAGACTGTGGCACCTCTGGGGCCCATGTTCCTTCCTGCCTTACTATCCTCAGCATAGTGGGTTTTACGTYATTTTATTTTTTATTACTGGTGATTGAACTTAGGGGCACTAGACCACTTAGACACATCTCTAGCCCTATTTGTGTATTTTATTTAGAGACAGGGACTCACTGAGTTGCTTAGTGCCTCACCATTGCTGAGGCTGGCTTTGAACTCACAATCCTCCTGTCTCAGCCTCCTAAACCACTGGGATTACAGGTGTGTGCCACCATGCCCTGCAGCACAGTGTTTTTGACTTCAGGGGTCACAAGTTGACTGTGTGCTACAAAAGGTCAAGGAATGGTATCATATGAACTGGGTGTGATAGTGCATGCATATAATTCCAGGTACTCAGGAAGATGAGGCAGGAAGATGGAAAGTTCAAGGTCATCCTTATCAATTTAGCAAGATTCTGCAACTTATCAGGACCTTGTTTCCAAAAAATAATAAATTTAAATAAATAAAAATAAGGCTGAGGATGCAGTTCAGTGGTAGACAGTCCCTGGTTCAATCCCTCATACCATCATATAAAAAACCCCAAAACAAAACAAACAACYCACCCCACACAAAACTATATTCCTTCCTTATCTGGAAAATTCTGGGAGGCATTTCTGACTGACCTCTGGTCCACTTTGGGTTTGCTCTGACCTACTCCTCTTGTCCAAAATGTCCTTCCTGCCAGGTGCAGCTTCTGAACTCCTTCCTACCTCTTCAGAAAGCCCAGTTCAGATGTTACCTTTGAGTAATATTCCCAGACTGCTCCTCCAGGCTTCTTCCCATTCTTGAGCCTCTTGGACCTCTCTGCCTCTGTTTTATCTGTTCCACCTGTCTGCCCAGAGCCTGCCCTGGAAACTCTTGCGTACCCAGATGATATACCCAGCAGAAAGAGCAATTGAGCACATGAATGAATAAAATGTATGTCTTCCTTTTATTTCAGACCATGACTATCCTTTGCAATATTGGTCAAATTCTTCCTCTCTTCTGCAGGCTGGCTGCTGTGGGAAGCAGAGTTCATGCCTTAAAATAAATGCTTTCCACTGGGCACTCTGCTGTGTGATGGGGGCCACATCAAGGAGCCATTTAGTCATCTGCTAAATGAGAGGCTATACTTAAAAGTTTCTTTTCATTGTGCTGGAGATGCACTTCAGTGATAGTGCTCTTGCCCAGCATGCTCTATCCCCAGTACATGGAAAAAATAAATTCGTATTTTAAATCTCCACTATTCCTAACTCAAGCCTGCATTCTTCTAGTGCAGAGGAAGGATTCTATCAGACTTCAAAGAAGATATTTTAGTGAAATTGTCACCATCTATGAGTCATATAAAAATGAGTACTGTATGAGGGAAGTGGACCTGCATCCCTAAACTGGCTGAAATTTTCATTTTTACTGAAGTTTCTGTTGAATTAAATATATGGGAAAGTGTTCATATCTTAAGTGTCCAATTTGGTTAATATTTGCAAGGTGAATGTGCCAATATAATCATCACCCAGATTGAGGCACAGAATGTGACTGTCTCCCAAAGCTCCCTCACGTCCCTCCAGTCATTATCTCTCAAGGATAACTGCCATTCTGACTCGTAACTGTGCAGAACAATTTGCTTAGATTTGTACACTTTTTTCCCTTTATCTTTTTTCTTTTGTGTGTGTTGCTGGTGATTAAACCCAAGGGCATTCTACCACTGARTTACATCCCAGCCACCCACTTTTTTTTTTTTTTTTTGCTTTGAGACASAGTCTTGCTAAGTTGCRGAGGCTAGCCTCTATCTTGCCATCCTTCYGCCTCGGTCTCCCAAAGTGCTGGGATTAGAGTTGTATGCCACCATGCCTGGCCAATTTACACCCTTTCTGCTAAAGAAATCACATGGGGTCTACTTTTTTTTTTTTTTTTTAATACCAGTAATTGAACCCAGGGCCCTTTACCACGGATGGAGTCATATCCCCAGTCCTATTTATTTATTTATTTTTAAATTTTGAGACAAGAGTCTTGTTAAGTTGCTAAGGGCCTTGCTAAATTGCTAAGGCTGCCTCAAACTTGTGATCCTCCTGCGTCGGCCTTCCAAGCTGCTGGGATTACAGGCATGCAGCATGGCACCTGGCTTATGTCTACATTTTTGTGACTATTTTTTTTTTCACTCAACATTATGTCTGTGAGGTTATCCATATGTATATCAGTAGTTTTATTTCATTGTCATATAGTATTCTACCAAACAAGAATACACATGTATTTATTCATTTCATAACTGACAAGTATTTGGATAGTTTCCAGCTTGAAACAATTAAGAATAAAGCTACTGAGAACATTTCACATGTCTTTTGGTGACTAATGACTCCCAGTTCACCCAGGTATATATCAAGAGTAGAACTGCTAGATCACAAAGCAGTGTGGTTGGCTGAGTAAGTATTGCTGGCTGGGTAGATATTTCCATGGTGCCCAAGTGTGTCCTGGATATAGAAGAGGCCAGCGGCCAAGGAGAAGGGCTCTCCTATAAGCAGCCCTCAGCAAAACCATCAGGTGAGACTTCCCTCTCTGCTTTCCACCCCCACGGCCACTCCCCAGCAGGCTGAGGAAATCCTCCATGATATCACTCCTCTGAGTTCTCCACAGTCCTACAGAATAGTGGTTCAGGCCAGCCTGTCTCCTCCATGAACCCTATACAAGGTCAGTCCTGTAGTGATCTGCAACTTGGTGTAGACTCACTGCCTAAGGAGTAGACAGAAGTCAGAAACCTGTGTTCCAGATGCTAGGTGGGCCCCCAAATAAAGCCCTCTGCCAGTTCATTGCTGTAATCAGCTGGCAAAACATGAGGCCTGACTGAGAGTGATAAGAACTGAGMCCAGGAACTCAGCCAACATCACTCCACATCACTCACCAGCTCAGTGGCTGAGGCCCCGAACTATCTTTGGGCCTATCCCTCCACATACAAATTCATTTAAGTGTTATACCTGTGGTCAAAATGCTCACATACCTTAGCCAGCACCGCTCCCCAGGGTCCTAGGCCAAAGGACCCAGAGTGTACTTTCTCAGGGGATTCTGACTCCAGGACCCCTGCTTGGGCCACTGTGCCCTATCCTCATTTCTTTTTTCTTGGTACCAGAGATTGAACTTGGGGGCACTCAACCATTGAGCCACCTCCCCAGCCCTATTTTGTATTTTATTTAGAGACAGGGTCTCACTGAGTTGCTTAGCACTTAGCAGTTTCTGAGGCTGGCTTTGAACTAGAGATCCTCCTGCCTCAGCCTCCAAAGCTGCTAGGATTATAGGGGTCTGCTACTGCACCTGGCCCTTCATTTCTTATCACAGGAAGGGTGTTCAGGTCCCTTCAGTCCTGCCTTGTGCCTTCTCCTGGAAAGTGAAGATGGAAGCCACAATCCAGGTATACCCCATGGGAGCAGGTGTACACTACTGCTGCTGGGAGACCTTCATAATGGTTCAAGGGGCCAATGGGCAGTCTGAGAAGGAAGCCTTCCCCAAAGTTTGGGTCTGAGTATATTTGGAAGGGGGAGGGGAGGTGATTCCAGACTAAGGGAATCTACAGCCAGTAGAGAGAGGCTCTGCAGCATAGAACACTGGGACATACCTGGGGAGGCTCAAGCCGTTCACTTGCCAAGAAGTGAAGGAGTATACACCTTCAGTTGCGGGGAACAGTGCAGGGCAGACGATAAGGCCCAGGCAGACCCCAAATATTTCTGGGCCATGTCTCTAGGTTGAGGTCTTTACAAAGCTCTGGAGGCTGGCACCTGACAGTGCCCATTTCAAGTTTAATGTATAAATCTCTTCATGATGGCCTCCTTCCAAGGAGTCAAGCAGGGATCCWGCTGAAGGTGGGACATGAAAAGAAAAAAAAAAAAAATGGTCAGCCCTACTAAGCGCTGGCCCCTGCTGTCATTATATTATGGGATTTCACTGGGGCTCAGCGGAAGTTGATCTGCCAGGAACAYGCAGCTGTGACAGGACTGGGATCAAAGTTCAAATCTTTCTATGCCAAACTCAGCCCCAGTCTTAGCCGGCTGAGGGAACCCTATATATAGGCAAAACTGCCTACATATACCTATTTCCCTGCAAATTCATAATTTTTCAGGGCCTTTGATCCTCACACAATGGTCAGTCTAGGAAGTAAACCAGCCACCTCGAGGCCCTGAGGCGTAGCCACGAGCCGCACTAGGTTGGCAGGCAGCCAGGGAGCCTGCACTCCGCGCTCGGGCTACTCTCCGCCTCCTGGGAAAGCACGCGCACTGGTGGCCGTTGGGGCGACGCGCCCCCTCGCGGCAGCCCGGGTCGGTGGCCAGGGGCGGGGCTAGGTCAGGACTTTCAGCCTGGCAGCACATACCCGCACGGCTTCAACGCAGAACTCAGATCCCCGTGTGGAGAACAGTGAAGCCCGCTTGCGCCCCGGGCCTGAGTGTCGGAAAGTACCTGGAACCCAGAGCAACGCACGCTACGCAAGGGCCCCGCCTACTCCGACCGGCGGCGCTCTTGCGCGTGCCTGCCGCCGGCGTGCGCAGGCGCCCATGAATCGTGAGGCCGCCATTGCTTGCCCACTGCCGTGTTGGGCTCCCATTTCGAAGTCCGCCGCCCGGAGGGAAGGCTGAATGCTACGCTTCGATAACAGCGTCCTAGTGCTGTAGGGGCAGCACGTTCAGAACTGAAAACCCTCTCAACGCCAGGCTGATCGGAATAAGAAACTACAATTCCCAAAGTGCATTGCAYCGCAGGGTTGCGGGAAGTAGTGACGTAAGGCTCCTCGGCCGCTACCATTATTCTGGTGGGGGGCTGGGGGACGCGGGCTGATGACGCGCTCTGGTTGCCTCTGGCGGGTCACCGGAGGTCAGCGCTAGGGAATAAGGGTTCTGGTCTCCAAGTGCCTTCGGGATATATACAATTCCAGCCCTCAAACTGACTTTCTATTTAGCCTTAAGGATGGCTACCTGCTGACTGTACCCGTTGCCTTTCAACCCTCAGGCCAGCCACTGAACTAAGGAGATATTATTATTGTTATTATTACTTATTTTGAAATAATCAAATCCCGTATACTTTTGTTTGTTTGTTTTGGTACTGGGGATTTAATCCAGCGGCGCTCTACCACTGAGTTACAGCCCCAGCCCTTTTTATTTTTTATTTTGATAGGGTCCCCCTAAATTGCTGAGGTTGGCCTTGACTTTGTGATCCTCTTGTCTCAGCCTCCTGAGTTGCTGGGATTATAGGTGTGTGCCACCTCTCACAGTTTCCCGAATATTCATTGATAAGACTAGCCAGTCTTCACATCTTTTATCCCCTTTATCATTTCTTCTTTTCTCCGTATACCTATTCTGCCACACACACACCCCTCCCGGTTTGATTTAGCTGCATTTGGTGCCTCTTTACCTCTGTACTTAAAGGTATGTCTCTATGTATTTTTTTTTTTTCTGAAAACAGGGACATATTCCTACATTCAAAACCAGGTAACATTGACCAAGACCATCTTCTAACCCATAGTCCGTATTTAAATGTTTCCAGTTGTCCTAGTAATTCCCTATGTGGAAATTGTCTTTTTTTCTGGCCTAGGATCCAGTTCAGGAGCCCATGTTGCATTTAGCTGTCAGGTTTCTTTAGTTTTCTTCAGTCTAGGGTGGCTCCTCAGGTTTTCCTGGACTCTTTTTCTTTTTCTTTTTCTTTTTTTTTTCTTTAAAGAGAGTGAGAGAGAGAGAGAGAGAGAGAATTTTTAATATTTATTTTTTTTTAGTTCTCGGCGGACACAACATCTTTGTTGGTATGTGGTGCTGAGGATCGAACCCGGGCCGCACGCATGCCAGTCGAGTGGGCTACTGCTTGAGCCACATCCCCAGCCCTTTCCTGGACTCTTGAGACCTTGACTTTTTTGGAGATTCTTGGCCAATTGTTTTGAAGAACTAGGTTTAGGGTGTCTGTGATTTCTTCACCACTAGATGTTCTGACTAGGCATCACAGAGGCTGGGGTGGGTGTTGGCTGGGCGAGGGGGGTTCAGTGTCCAGCCACATTGGCCTCTGGACCCACCCCAGATGCTGCTGGGCCACACCCACAGGTGCTTCCCAAGCTGGGGTTTCACTCTCACCCAGGTCTTTGGCTTTTCTGTAGCACCCACCACAGAGCCATGGTCCACGCCTTCCTCATCCACACCTTGAGGGCCCCAAATGTGGAGGACACAAGCCTTTGTCGAGTGCTGTACTCCTGTGTCTTTGGTGCTGAGAAGTCAACTGATGATCCTCGACCACATGGTGCAGAGAGGGATAGGCTTCTCCGCAAGGAGCAGATTTTGGCGGTAGCCAGGTAACCACAGTCCAACTCCAGGCTTCATTGAGCACGTGGCTGATTGTGATAGGCGCTCTGGGGGCATGCAGCAACACAGGAGGATTAAGAAGCAGGGAGGATATCTTGGAGTGGTTTTTCCCAGAGTCTTCCACAGGTGTTAATAGTGTTAATATGAAAGAGGGTTGAAGAGGGCTGGGGATTTTAGCTCAGCCATAGAGCATTTGCCTGGCATGCTCAAAGCCCTGACTTCAAACCTCATCACTGCAAGAAAAGTTTAAGGAAATAATGTTAATGGTTTTGTAATCATTATTATAGTGAGCACTTATCGAGTCTGTATGTGCTAAGCATTTATGTTTTGAGCATTTCACATTTCACATTTATTATTCATTTAATTGTCATAATAGTTTTTTGAGGTAGCTACAGTTATCCCCACCTTACATACAATGTGCAATGAGGTGCACAGTGTTTAAGGAACTTAACCTGCCAGGATTATACAGCTAGAAAGTGACACAGCTGAGATTGGAGTGTAGGCAAGCAGACCACAGTGCAGATTCAACATACTTTGTAGTGCAGGACTTCTCAGGGCCTTTATTGTGCTGTAGGCTTTCTGTATCTCTAAGAAAGAAAGAATATGTATACCCCAGCCATATTTATATTAAGGTCCTCCCGAATGTTTGGATTCAGAGCACAATTTGGAAAACACTGTTCCTTGAACCTTCCCATCCCAGACTTAGTTACCAGAGTTTTTCCCCTCTGCATTCTGGGTAGGAAATTGCTACTCTGAGCAACTTTTACTGATTCCTGCCCGCCTCTTGTTCTTGACTTCCCCTCCCTCCCTGTAGCATAGAAAACCAAACAGATATCTTCACTATTTTATTATTTTGGTGCTGGGGATTGAACCCAGGCCCTTGCACATGTTAAGCACATACTTTGCCACTTAGATATACCCCAGCCCCAACAAATGCTTTAAAACCAGGCTGTGCRTGACTCAAATTAGAAGGCAATTTAGGAAGGATCACAGGGAGTTTTCAATGGAAGGATGGAACTTTATTTTTACTTGGAGAAGGTTGCAGGAGGGGATGAAGGTAGAGAGGTTGGGTAGCCCAGGTTGGGCGATGGCATTTATTTTCCTTAGCAAGGCCTCTATGAAGCAGGTGGGACAGCCTCTTCTTCCCCTGGGGCCCTTTTTTTTAGCTGAAAAAGCTGTTTTTAGAACCTGCGTTCTCTTGGCCACATGTAGTAAAGTGGTCTAGGGCCCAGAGGCCAGGCCTGGATTCCAAGATGAGGTTATACTTTCTTGCTCTGTGGCACTGGAGAGGTCACTTAGTCTCTCTGAACCTCAGTTTCCTCACTTGAGATATGCGGGTAATGGTAGCTCCCAGAGTAGTCATGAGGATGACAGAAGTTGGGCCTCACCAGACCTGTCACTTCTTCCCAGGCAAGTGGAGTCAATGTGCCAGCTGCAGCAGCAGGCATCTGGCCGACCCCCAACGGACCTGCAGTCTCCATCCTCAGACGAGCCTGTGCCCCTGCAGGAGGCTCCACGAGGTGCTTTCCGCCTGGCAGCAGGAGACCCTTTCCAGGAGCCGAGAACTGTGGTGTGGTTGGGAGCGCTCTCGTTGGGCTTTGCCCTGGTGCTGGATGCCCATGAGAACCTGCTGCTGGCCGAGAGTACCATCCGGCTTCTGGCCCGCCTGCTCCTGGACCACCTCCGCCTGCTGACCCCTGGCTCCAGCCTCCTGCTGCGAGCTGACCGCATTGAAGGCATCCTTACCCGCTTTCTGCCCCATGGTCAGCTGCTTTTCCTCAATGACCACTTTGTCCAGGGTCTGGAGAAGGAATTCAGTGCTGCCTGGCCCCGCTGACCCCTCACTGGAATGGGGCTCACTGAGGGGACAGGGAAGGAATATAGAGATTCCACACACAGCCAGGGGAAGCTTGGCATTTGCCTCCTGCCTGACCTGTTTCTTGCTCTGATGTGCTGCCATATCCAGGACACATGGATGGGACAAGCTGGCAGCAAGGGGACCAGTGTGAGGGTAGAAGTGGGACTGTGTCTATTCTCAGGTCACCAGAATCACAGAACATCCTGAACCTAGAACTGCCGTCGTGTGACTTACTCAGACCACTGCATTATGTATGTCCGACCTGACCTAGACTCTGCCTTCCTAAAGCCCCACTAGCCACTAGTGCTGGGGGATTAGGGGGCGCTGCCTAAAACAGCACASCTTCTCCTTCCAAAGCCTCAGTCATTGCAGACTCCCTTCATGGTGGGGGTGGCTAGGCCCACAACCTGGCAGGCCCTGGCCCCTACCTTTGCAAATACTTAAGCAACATCATTGGAGATTTTGTTAGCAAGGGCCTCCTCTCAGCTAGCTCCACCTCAGTTGAGAAACACTGTTCAGCAGGGCATCCTGTAGCCCTAGCCAAGCCCTAGCCGATCAGGTGGGGTTAAGATGTAGCATTTGGGAAGTCTGTGCTGGTTGACCTTGTCTTTCTCATTTTGTATTAAAACTGCTGGTTGTGTGACCTCGCCCTTTGTGAGTTTGATAGACACATTCTTTTACAAGTGAGTGCCTCTTCGGATGGCCTGTGAGCTAGGTGTCTACTTCCTGCTCAAGGGTCTCCCGAGAGGTTTCTTGGGCGGCCTCTATATCTTGCCCGCCTCCTTGACTGCAGCCTTCACTGGTGGCAGGTCAGTGTGGGCCTCTGGGAAGGAGAGCCTGAGACAAGTATGTGCAGGTGGCCTATGTGAGAGGTAATCCTAGGCAATAGGAAGGGGAGGCAGCCCATCAGGTGTGACTCGATGGGGAGTTTCATGCTCAGTCTGGGGGCCAGTGTGTAAGTCACCTCTTAATTACCTCACTTGAGGGTTGGGGGCCGTGGGTGTTTGCCCACTTGCTTTAGTCTTTGCTTGTTGTCACAGGGTGTGTAAATTCCTCGGCTCTTTTTGCTCTCAGAGAGTGGTGCTGAGCCTGCCTGCCAAAAATATATGGACGGGCCACTAAACACCAGTTGTTAGGAGGTCTTTAATCAGCAGCTTCTGGTGTTGGCTTAAAATTATTCAGTTAAAAAAAGAAAAATCGTTATCATTTTCATGATCGGTCTGCTACTGTAGAGACAAGGCTTTCTTGGTGTGGGCAGAATGGCCTTCTGGGTGGTCAGGGTGCAGGTGGCATCCCCATCTCATGCTTCCCATGCATCAGTTGCCCTTGGTCACCCAGGATGAGTCCACCCACATGCATTTAGGAGGCAGCACCGTAATCAGCCCTTCTGTGTCTGCAGCCAAGGCCACCAGGCATACTGTAACCTTCTACTACCAGGGATAATCTTGGTGAAGTGGCTTTATTCTCACAAGAACGGGCCCTCTGGCCTCAGGGGAAGATCCCAAGCTTGCCTGATCTGAATTCTTTCTATTCAAACTGAACTTGAAGGAGAGATTGGGACCCTTCTGTCCTGGAAGTTGGAATTGGGCATGTTCGGTGGCCTTGGTTCCCATCTCCTGGAGCAAACTGATACATAGAGAATGGAGGAGACTGAGGCCACACCCTGGGGCTGCTGAGCCCCTGGTTCTTGTTCTGGCTGCCCAGTTACTACCTGGGTTTCTGTCACCCCATGAGCTCACCCAGTGTCCTTTCTACATTTTTCCACTTTGTTTTTGGATTGAACCCAGGTGTACTTTAACACTGAGCTACATCCCCAGCCTTCTTTATTTTAATTTATTTATTATTATTATTATTTTTACTTTTTTCCCCAGTGAAAGAAAGTTTATTTTTCCCAACAACAACAATTATAAGTATAGATACTTGCCTAATTGTTCCAGACTGACACAAACACAGGTATTGGTCAAACAATAGCACATTCTGTTACAGGGATAATTAGTGCTATGGTCTGTGCCCACAGAGAAAATATCCCCAAATCATATGAATATATGGTAGGCATTATCAGGGAGCTTCTATGAACAGCAAACTTTATGCCACAGACAAAAGCAAGGCTCTAGGTAGAAATCAAGAATCTTTTTGTGATTGTTAGCAAGAACCTCAATGCAAACTTGCAACCACTTTAGGAAGAATTACATGGAACACTTACAAGAGAAAGAGCACCAAGTTAAATTGGTCTAGATATGAAGAAATCTCTAAATCTTGTGGGTTTTCATTAATTCTGGGTCAGGAGAAGTTTATAATAAATATTAATTTATAAGTAGTGGAATTCATAATTAATGGGATAATAATTGATACTATATAAATTTAGAATTAAGTTTTAATAGTGTTTTTGAAATCTGTCTCCATATTTTATTTTAAAAATATTTTTAGTTGTAGTTGGACCTTTTGTTTTATTTATTTTTATGTGGTGCTGAGGATCGAACCCAGGCCGCACACATGCCAGGTGAGCGCCCTACCATTTGAGGCATAAGGGACGCTTGGGATGGTCCTGGATCATCACATACAAATGAAGATGTGGTGTCTGCCGATAACTAAAAAATAAATATTAAAAAATTCTCTCTCTCTCTCTCTCTCTTTAAAAAAAAATTAAGATTGCTGCATAAATTGGGCACAGTGGCTCATACCTATAATCCCAGTGGCTTGGGAGGCTGAGACAGGAGGATCTCCGAGTTCAAAGCCAGCCTCAACAATGATGAGGTACTTAGCAGCTCAGTGGTTAAGTGCCCCTGAGTTCAATCCCTGCTACCAAAAAAAAAAAAAAAAAAAAAAAATTGCTAGAGAAGTAAACTTGCTTCACCTCCAAGCCTTCTGACTGTCCTCTTCCTGTCCTAGGAATCTGRGTCAAGCCACACACCCCTTGACCTCTTGAGAACTGGAGACATTTAGCAGCTGGTGTTGAAGCCAGGGCACAGAAAATGCTCTTCGGACAACAGGAAGATAGCAGGAAGGAAGTGGAGTCCTATATAGAGGAGGAAGTCACAGGTTTCAGGCCAGGCCATGGTGTTGCTAGGTGGTGTGGATCACTGGAGGCATAAGGGATGCTTGGGATGGTCCTGGATCATCACACCTCCTTCAGGACAGTGTTATTTTCCCTAGGCCTGTGACACAGCAGACTATTGTCCAGCAACCCCCAGGGCTCAGTTCTTTTCTTTAAACAATCATTCATATATTTTGTTGTAAACTCAAATACTATTTATCAGATGCAACACTCAGTGACCCCTTAATCAAAGCCCTGCGTATTTATGCCATTAAATTGACCTTGATTCTTGCATTTTTGAATAGTTTTTTTTAAAAAATGGGATTGAACCCAGGGCCATTTTACCAATGAGCTATATCCCCAGTTCTTATTGCTTATTTTGAGACTATGGTCTCGCCAAGTTGCTGAGGGCCTCACTAAGTTGTTAAGGCTGGGCTGGAACTTGGGATCCTCCTATCTCAGACTTCTGAGTTGCTGGGTTTACTGCCCAGCTAATATACTTTATTTTCTAAAAGCAATTTTACATTCACAGAGAAATTGAGCAAGAAGTACAGAGAGTTCCCATATAATCCTTGTCCTCACATATGCATACCCTCCCATTATCAAATCCTGCCTAGAATGGGTATATTGTTACAATTGTTCAGTCTACATTGACCCATCAGCATCACCCAAAGTCCATAGATTCCCTTAGTATTCACTCTTGATGTAGTGCTTTCTAAGAGTTTTGACATGTGTGTAGTGACATGTATCCATCATTGCAGTACACAGAGTAGTTTCATTGCCCCAAAACTCTCCTGTGTTTTGTCTATCTGTCATCCCTTCTCTTCCACTAACTCCTGGCAACTTCTAATCTTTTTGCCATCTCTCTGGGCTTATCTTTTCCAAATGTCATGCAGTGGAACCATACTAGCCTTACACAGTGGCTTCTTTCATGTAGTAATATGCATTAAATTTCTTTCATGTCTTCTCTAGGCTTGATTGCTCATTTTTTAAATTGCTGACTAATATCCCATCCTATAGATCAACTAGAGTTTATCCATCCACCTACCAAAGTACTCATGGTTGCTTCCAAGTTTTGGCAATTACAAATAAAGGTGCTCTACACATTCATTTTTGTGGGGCTATACAATTTCAATTCATTTGAGTGAATACCAAAAACTGTACATTCAGTTTGTAAGAGATTGCCAAATTGTCTTCCAAAGTGGCAATACCATTTTGTCAGTAACAGAGTTCCTGTTGTTCCACATCCTTACCAGCATTTGATGTTGTTGTATTTAGACTTTGTTCATTCTAATAAGGGGCAATGGTATCTCATTGTTTTAATTTGGAATTCTCTATTGACATAATGTAGAACATCTTTTATGTACTTAACTTACCATCTGTATACCTTCTTTTGTGAGGTGTCTGTTCATATATTCATATATATATGTTGTAGTTGTACACAAAACCTTTATTTTATTTATTTATTTTTGTGTGGTGCTGAGGATTGAACCCAGCACCTTGCACACGGTAGGCGAGCGCTCCACTGCTAAGCCACAACCCCAGCCCAGGTCCTTTGTTTTTGTGTGTGGTGTTTATTTTTTTGTTTGTTTGTTTTGTTTTGTTTTGTTTTGTACCAGGGATTGAACTCAGGGCCACTTAACCACTTGAACTACATCTGCAGTCCTTTTTATTTTGAGACAGAGTCTCATTAAGTTGTTGAGGCTGGCCTCAAACTTGCTATTCTCCTTCATCAGCCTCATGAGTAGCTGGGATTACAGGTGTGTGCTACAATGCCTATCTCTTTTGCCTCATTTTTAATTGGGTTGTTTGTTTTATTACTGTTGAGTTAGAGTTCTTTGTATATTGTAGTTAACAGTCACTTATCAAGTATCTCTTTTTCAAATATTTTCCCCAGTCTGGGGCTTGTCTTCTCATTTTTTCACATTGTCTTTCACAGAGCAGAATATATATATATATATAGTATGTGTGTGTATTTAGTTGTCAATGGACCTTTATTTAATGAACTTATTTATTTATATGGAGCACTGAGAATCAAACTCAGTGCCTCATAAATGCTAGGAAAGTGCTCTACCACTGAGCTATGAACTCAGTGCCAAGCAGAACTTCTTGTGTGTGTGTGTGTGTGTGTGTGTGTGTGTGTGTGTGGTCCTGGGGATGAACCCAGGGCCTTGTGCGTGCAGAGCAAGCACTATACCAACTGAGCTATAGCCGCAGCCCTGGAGCAGAACTTCTTCTTCTTTTTTTTTTTAAACATTTATTTTTTTTTAGAAGTAGTTGAACACAATACCTTTATTTTGTTTTATTTTTATGTGGTGCTGAGGATAGAACCCAGGGCCTCATACATGCTAGAGGACCACTCTACCGCTGAGCCACAACCCCAGCTCCTGGAGCAGAACTTCTTAATGTCATTAAAGTTCTTTCTTCATGGACCATACCTTTGGTGTTTGGTATTTAAAAAATCATCTCTTGGGCTGGGATTGTGGCTCAGTGGTAGAGAACTTGTCTAGCACATGCAAGACCCCCTGGGTTCCATCCTCAGCATCACATAAAAATAAATAAATAAAGTAAAGGTATTGTGTCCAACTACTTCTAAAAAAAAAAAATCA